TTACATACAAATTCGACTTAAGGACAGACCTTGGGAACAGAACTCATTCTTAAACTGGGGATTACCTGTATATAAATTGCAACTCTTGTAGACTGCATGAGTGGAAATGTAAATAAATTGGTACGCATTTGTTGGCAATGCTCAATTAGTCAGGGCTTTTGACTGAAAGCTTTTGAAGAAATTAGGAAAAATCACATGACACTATTTGATAATGAATCCTCAGGTTAGTTTGCTGTCTATATTTCCTAATACAGATAAAGTGACCCAGCACAAGAAATTGATTCAGCTTTTGTTTTATGGTTCTTACTGCAAAATACTTAAAACTCAATTTGGCTGCCAGATGATGAGACCAGCCCAGGTCAGATGATACTCCTCATTACTGAGGAAGAGTGTAGAATCCTCACAAGTTGATTCAGAAATGGCCACACCCAATTTGCAAGGAAGCCTGGTCAGTGGTGGAATGAATACCAAAAAGAAGAGTTCAGTTTATGAGAAAACATACAATTGGAATGTGGAAAGTGAGAAGTATGAACAAGGGAAAAAACAGAAATGAATTGTGATAAACTGGATGTTTTAGGATTAAGAGAATTTAGGTAGACAGACTGGGTCACTTCAGCTCTGATGATTACATGATACACTGTTCAGGGCATGAGATCATATCAAAGAATATGAGGCAATGATACCCAAAGAGAATAATGCTCAGCAATAAATCAATAAAAAGATAACAGAATTAATGGATATCAAAATTAAACCAGAATATGAACTTCTATTCAGATGAACAGGAGGAATTACATAGCAAATTACAAGAGGTCTAAATGCAGCGTCAAGAAAGAGATAATGGATAATTGGAATGTAAAAACTGGAAAAATAGAGGAACTTGGAATTACAGGAAGATCTGGAATAGATAAGTGCATTAATATAAGAGAGAAGTTAATGAGTTTTGTATTGAAAATTCTTTGTTTATTGCCAATCTCTGCTTCTGTCATGGCTCAGAACTCAGACTCTGACTCTTAAGAAGCTGCTCCAGCTGAACCTGTGGGGTTGTCAGCCTCAAGAGACACCAAGCCAGGAATCACCTGAGGCTGCTCAAACAGAGGCACCATCAGAAGAGAGCAGTCAGATGATGAGGCATGGCCTCCAAGCCCTGGGACTCAGTGAGTAGAGAGCAGAACAAAGATGCTAAGTGAGGCTCCTTGCCAAGCATGGGAGTGACTGTCTTAATTAAAGATAGCTGGCTGCAGCCTGATTTAAGAGGCAGCCCTGACCCATCTTCCTCTGTTGGAAACAACTGTCTGATCTCCTGCTTTGGCATGTTGTTTCTGTGATTCTGTTCATGATTCCTGAAACCCTGACCTTTGGACTGACTGACAAACCTGACTTCTGACTGGATTTGACCTCTTCTGCGCATCCCTATTGAAAGCAAAACTACCCAGGCAAGCTTTCTTTCCCAGAGACTCTGTTTTGATTTACTTCTTTTCCTTGTCTGCTGTTATCTACTCAGCCTTGAGTAAATTGCTATTTTCATCTGGCAACTGAGAAAGCATGAGTCTGAAACCTGAAACAGGACAGCTTCAAAGAACACGAACATAGATTCTACACCTAGATACCATTAGATGGACAACACTGGAATCAAAAAGAAAACAGGTGATGGAGAAATGCAATCCAATCAGCCAGGACACAGACACACTTTGTATAATAGATCATGAAATACTGCTGTGAAATCTATAGGATAAATATAGAAAATGTTAACAAGTAGGTGCAATGAAGGTCTGAGGGAAGCACATCCTCAGCGGTGCTTTGTGAAGCAAAATATCCATCTTGCTTCCAAGAACGAAGTGAAATGACTATGTTGCTTCACATTGCTTTGCTTCACAGCCCCTCACAGCTTCTCTAATAGCCCCTCCCAAACCATGTGTCCTTTGAACTGCTCACCAACACATCTATCAAGAGGTGCAGAAGATACACAGCTCACTTCCTCTCTATTGCAGGTGGAAGGGCTGCCCACCTCCTATGGTATGGCTTGCCCCAAGCTTTGGTGAGCCATGCTGATAAGCAAACCTCTCTACCTTCTCCAGCTCTCCTGCACCAAAACTGCAAGTAACCACAGACACTATCTGCTTTAGCAAGTTATATGCACAAATTTTGTTGCCTGAAAAATACAACAAAAAGAAATATGTTGCTCCACAACACAAATCTCTTCAAAAAGGCAAACCTAAGGTACCTCACACAGTAATTACTAGAAGTCAACATGGATTTGTCAAGAATAAATCTTGACTAATTTTCCTTTTTTCTGAGATAATTTCATTGGTACTTTAGAGAGATGCTCTGGACATTGTAAATCTTGACTTCAACAAAGCATTTAACTAAGAATTATATGATATTTTATTAGCATGTTAGTTAGATATGGGCTAGATGGCATGTTTATTAGGTGGATCTAGAGTTGACCTGAATGTGTATTTATAGAGTTTCTCCTTAGACTGAGGTATCCAAGGTTCAGTATTCTTCAAAAGTTTTCATTAATTATTTGAATAAAGAGATGGAAAAATCACTTCTGAAATTTTTAGATGATACAAAATTAGGTAGAAAAATCTTTAGAAAACAGAAATAAAATTCAAAAAAATTGTGAAAGATTATAGAAGTGACCTTAAAAAAAAAAAAACAGGGACAAATGTAGAGTTTTTCATTTAGGAAAAAAAAAACATAGGCACAAGTTGGAGATATCTGGCTTAGTAATTGTATGCATGAAATCACAGAAAGTTAATTGTTTCACTTTACTCTTTTCTGGTCAGACCTCATCTCAAGTATTGTGTCCAGTTCTGGGCACAATATTTTAAGAAAGACTCAGAATCTCGGAGAAGTGCAGAAAAGGGATTGAAGGAGCCATGTACATTTGGCCTTGAGAAAATGTGGTTGGGAAGTAGAAATTGAAAGCTCTCTTCAAGTGCCTGAGAGTCTGTCACATGGAAGAGGATAAAGACCTGCTTTCTATCACCTCAAAGTGCAAAATCTAGAAGACAGATTCTGTGTGAATATGAGAAAAAATGTCCTTATATTCAATAGTCCCTATATTCATGGACATTATATAAATGTCCTTATATTCAATAGTCAAATTAATTCGCCAAAGGCGATGTGAACTCCCCATCATTGGGCATGTTCAACCAATTATTGGTCAGGTTGCTTGGGCTGAGCAGGATGGCCAACACTATTGATTCTGTGGCCTTTTGTAGTATTTCTCCAAATTCATTGGGTGGAAGCATTGCTGAGAAGCCACATGGCTATACTGAAACATTTATACTTGTCCAAAAACTGGACTTTAAAACAAGAAGGCCATCAGAATTCCTCTCTCTTTAATGAGTGCGTGTGCTACTTAGGTTATGAAATGCAATCTCCAATCTCAAACAATAGGAGTCAAGTACAATAATGTATATCTAATACACCCAAATCCACCATTCTATCTTATCCATATGCTATAGTTTATGAACCTCATATGTGTCCACACCTCTCCCTCTTCCTAAGAAAAGTGCATTAGAAGAGTTATGGGTAGAACAGATCCTCAGAATAAAACCTATACATTCTCAATTTATAGTATGATTTGATTAAATTTATGCTATTCCAAAATATTTTGCAGTCCTGTATGTAGTTAAGTCCAGCTATAATAGATAATGTAATTACCTGTCTTTGTTCTTCAGCTGCTCGAAATCCATGTATCTTTTCTGCAGACTATCATATTCAGCATTTCTGAAAGGAAAAGAGAAAAGAAGAAGTTATGCTTACATACAATGGACTCCAATAAATTCTCACAATTATAGACAAGCCTTCATCCTTGAGAGAACTATTCCCAGTGTACTCACACTGCTTATCTGCAGTATCAGGAGTCACTGTTAAAGCTTTACGCAGCAATTGTATCTCAGAATTCTTCTTCTTAGAGCCTTGTATATACCATAATAGGAATAATTATGAAATATATTACTTTCCACATAAAACTCAGAATGAGTCAAAGAAACCAGGCTCACCAACTGAATGGTTAGATTGCAATGATGCAAAAAATAACTGAACCAAATCTACCAATTGCACATGAATATTTGCTGGAACTGAGACCATTAACTGAAAAGTTGTAACAACAACAACAACAAAAATTACTTATTCCACACAACAGACAAATCAGCAAAATGTACCTGTTCCAAAGTTATACAGGAGGCCAATGGTAAACTAAAAAAAGAAAACAAAACATGTTCACCTATCTGTTCTGGGCATCTCTAATCACCTCTTATCTGCAAAATAGCATGCAAGTTAATATCTAAGATGAGTCTGACCAACCATATCATCAAATGGGATGGGTGAAATGATCTGCAAAATTGTCCTTTTGCCTCCAGATAACCCTTGTCTCTGAGAAAGCAGTCAAGCTGTAGATATTTGTATCTTCCAAGAAACTTTAGTAAAGGAAGGCAAGAACAGAACAGTCTAGTACATGCTACATATGCCTCTAGGATTAAGAAACAGAAGACATGCAGAACATCTTGCAGTATTGTAGGACTGCTGGAGCGTACAAGGCAAATACTGTAGAATGCAACTTCCCTTTGTTTCATCTTCTTTGCTGTCCCCAAACAGTTCTTTTTCTCTTTTTTTAATGGCGGTTTCATAGCTTAATTGTGGATCTCAACAGGTTTCTGACTGTGTCAAATTCAATCATGGGGACTAAATTAAATATTTTGTAAGATGTCTGTTTAAATGTGCCACTATCACAAAAACAAAAAACAAATTCAGAAGTGTTAATCTTTTAACCCACAGTATAAATGATATCTGGGAAATATTCCAGAATAATAACTCCAGATTAAAAATATAAATATTGGGGCCATTTTGATCTAGCCAGGAAGTATTTGATGAGAAAGAAGCAATCTCAGCCCAAATATATTCTGGTCCTTTGACATTCCATGTTACTATTAACATGCTACATGAGGCTGGATAGGTATGACTTCCCCATCATCTAGCTAGGCTTTTCAGAATACACAAATTGTTCCCCAATTGCTGGCATTCAGAGGCTCATGCCTTTAATCCTGAACGCAAAGCAAGGCTGGAAAAAGTTCTGATGGAGTGATTTAATTAGAAGCTGATTTATTCAAATCCCATCAAAACAGATATAAACAAAGCAGGGTTCCCTCTTTCTCCAATTCTAAAAGTGAAATGAAGCAGCCGCGCTGTTTCGCTGTGTTTCTGAGGCTTCCTGCAGCAATTTCTGCAGCACTGCCTTGACATTTATGAATGGCAATTCTCATAAATCTTTGTTCCACTCTCCTGAAAAACAAAAAGGTTAAAGTGGTTGGGGTCTTCCTCATGCAAAATTATGGATAAATGGAGCTCTGTTTTTCTAAATCTCACTCTGGATCCAAGAACTGCATTTATTTTTATTTATTGTGCCTTCAAGTCAGTGTTGACTCCTGGCAACTGCCTGGACAAGTCCCTGCAGTTTTCTTGGCAAGATTTTTCAGAAATGGTTTGCCCTTGCCTGCTTCCTAGGGCTGAGGGAGAGTGACTGGCCCAAGGTCACCCAGCTGGATTTGTGCCTAAGGCAAGAGTATAACTCACCGTTTCCCGGTTTCTAGCCTGGTGCCTTCACCACTACACCAAGCTGGCTCTTTCTGAACTGCATGGATTACCTTAAAATGGACCAAATGGGCCATTTATACAGCACTGATTTCAGCTTTCAGTACAGATTAGGAGGTATCTGCCTAGCCCTAGTAACCATGGAGGACATCTATCTCTAGTCTTTGTTGGTTGATCAAGAAAGTCTTAAATAGGAATTGGGACTATATTTAGCTAAACATGGTTATTGCAGAGGAATACAGAGGTGGCCTTGAAGAAGTTATATAAACATCAGATTAATCTGAATAGACGGGAGGGGGAAGGGGGGAAATCAAGATTGCCCTGTTTTCATTCCCTTTAATATAAGAGGGGAGAAACAGAATCTGTGTCAGGCTTTCAAGATTGGATTATTATACTCTACAATGATAAAGTAGAGTTCCAGTAGTTCAGGTGGTGTCTCACCGGGTCTACCTTGAAGGGCTGGCAGTTATAATCCCTATGATATTGGGAATCCTGTCAAGGTTCCCAATGCTATGGATAACTGTGACCATATTTAGCTGAACTGCTATGATTCCATTTCAGAAGGGTACTGGAGGAATGAAATAAAAATCCTTGTCACACCTCCACCATTACGTTTGCAAATGTCTGGTGGGACCTTGATTGCCTGATCGTTTGGGAAAATACATTATTGGCTATGATGGAAACCATGGTAGAAACAGAAAAGGCAAGAGAGAACTCACAGTGGAGATCTCAGTTCTGAACTGATGAATCCCCGAGACAGAGTAATGCAGTTTTCAGCAAAAGGTGCTTGACTAAGAATTGCCAACGTATAGAGCCATGGGATTTTCTGTTAGTAGGAAGGTGGTCATCAGTTTTGTTTTTGTTCTGTTTTTTGGTCACAGTTTTCTTTCAGAATGTTATGACATATTTTTCTGCACACTTTGAACAGAACGAATGAGCAGCAGAATCTTGCATAGGAAATAAAGGTTTTCGTTTCTGTGAATATTTTCAGGAAAAGGAGTTCTAAAAGCTTAAGTTACAATAAGAGTTACACATAATTGCTTCTATTTCAAGATACAGACTTTTGTCAACTGAACATTATAAAAACATTAGGGACAAAGATAAATAATTTAAAATAACAACTCATTTCCCTAAACTTCGAATTACTTGGACCTCTTCCAGGGCTGCATTGCCCTTAGCAATCCTTGCTCTAATTCCATCTTTTCTCTCTTCAAACGCTTAACTGCTTTTAGGGGGTGCTTTTGTGGATATGCAAAGAGTTTAAAAGCTTGTTCTGACAGTTATCCCTTTGGGTTCACCTCAAAACAAATTTACTTTTATCAAACGGTAAGATAAAGTATATTTTCTGTAATTTAAGAGAACTTTGTTATGGGAAAAAGTTAGAATAAATTTCTTCTCAAGTTGACAGAGCAATTGCATTTTAATTTAAAGAGCTTTAACTACAATGTACTTACTTCAAATTCTTAATTTAGGTGATCAAATGAATCCTAGTAGATGGTATTTCTGGACTCCTCTGGGCCTTCCTTGAAGTTTGGTTTTGTTTTTTTTCTATAAAGCTCTTATAATCATAGAAATTCTAACTTAGTTCAGACATGGAATAGTGAGAATTTGTTTTCATCTTCAGTGGACCTTTAAAAAGGAAAAAATTAAGTCTTATTCAAGTCAAGCTCAGCTTCCATGTTGTTTCTGTGGTTCATTAGTGGTTCATTACTGCTTTCTTCCAGAATGTATTTTTGACTTCATGCAGTCGACTCCAGAACCCTGTGATTTCCTGGTGCTCTCCCATTCAAATCCTAACCAGATCTTACCCTGCTTAACTTTTCAAGATCAACCAAGGACAACTAACTACCAGCACCTGTTAAGAAGATCCTTTTCCAGACCCAGACTACAGATAATAGAGCTGGAATGTGTTCTACTCCACTTTTATTCAAATGGCAATAGAGGCACATGGGTTATGAATACACCCGCGGGCGCACATGCATGTGCACACACACACCAGCTCCTTACCCCTTACAACCCGCCTCTCAAAACCTTTGTCTTCCAATATCTGGTACTGAAAATCAGCAGGTTAGGAAAGCACTTAGACTGCAGGGAACTGAACAGCAGACAGGAGAAAGGTTTTGCGTTCTTCACTCACATGCTTTATTCAGCTGGTCCAGAACGCAACAGCAGTGATGCCTGTGTAACACCTCTGCTTTGCAAGCTGGTTGCCAGTTTGCTTCCAGGCTGATGCGAGGTGCTAGTTCTTACCTATAAAGCCCTACAGGGCCTAGAACCTGGTTATCTGACACTATCTCCTATAGTATCTACTCAACCAATCTGATCTGGCAGGATTGGCATGCTCTGGGTTCCTTTGATTCAATATTGCCATCTATCAGGACCCTGGAAGCAGGCCTCCTTGGTAGCAGTGCCTGCCCTCTGGAATGAAGTTCCCCCTGAGATCTGGATGGCCCCCACCCCGCTGGTGGTTTGAAGGGGCTTGAAGACGTGGGTCTTCTCCCAGGCTTTTAATAAGGGTGAGTGAAGCCCCCTTGGATTCTTTTTTTCTAATGCAGTCTGATTCTGTCACCTTGCTACCTCTTATTTCCTATTTTTGTTTTCGGGCGTATTTTTTTCTAATGTTGGATGTTGGGCGGCATACAAATTGAATCATAAATAAAATAAAATAAATAAAAATAACTTCTGCTCTTCCAGCTAGACTTTTTCCTCCCTGTCCTGTCATTGAGGGCGGACCCTTGTTAACAGAGAGTTCTGCAACTGTGAAGTTTGATTTAGATTCATTCAGTATGAACGTATGAACATTCTTACAGTAACGTCCCTCTGTGTTGTAGCAAGTGTTTTGTATTTGGGTTGTTTGTGCTGCCTTGTCTCCTTAATCATTTTTGCCACCAATGAAGTCTCTTCCCCGTCGCTTCCACCTTCAATTTTACACTTGCATTTCCTAAGAGCCAGGAAGAGAATGAAGAGGCAAATTGGATATGTTTCATTCTGGAACTGCTGGCTTATATATTCATCAGCAGATTGCAGGAGAAGGGATCTGCCTGTATATGATTTGAGGTTCTGCAAAATTTGCACAGCTCAATTGGAGGCCAATTGTTATAATTTTTTTCAGGAAACTATTACAATGC